CCTGGAAAGATTTTTTCTTTTTTAAATTTAATTTAATTTTTAAAGTAGACTCCATGCACAATGTGGGAATCAAACTCACCATCCTGAGATCAAGAGTCACACGCTCTATGTACTGAGCCAGGCAGGTGCTCCCTGGAAAGACTTTTTTTTTTTAAGAAAGGCTTAGTTATTTTTCCTCTCTTCCCCTCTGATCCTATGTCTTATTTCTTAAATTCAGCATCTCAGAGAGATCATATGATAAGATCAATTATCTTTCTCTGATTGACTTATTTCACTTAGCATAAACCCCCAGTTCTATGTTGTTGCAAATGGCAAGATTTCATCTTTTTTGATGGCTGCATAATATTCAATTGGATATATATCACATCTTCCTTATCCATTCATCTGTCGGTGAACATCTGGGCTCTTTCCATTGTTTGGCTATCGTGGACATTGCTACTATAAACATTGGTGTGTAGGTCCCCTTCAGATCACTACATTTGTATCTTTGGGGTAAATACCCAGTAGTGCAATTGTTGGGTCATAGGGCAGCTCTATTTTCAATTTTTTGAGGAACCTCCATGCTGTTTTCCAGAGTGGCTGCACCAGCTTGCATTCCCAACAACAGTGTAGGAGTGTTCCCCTTTCTCTGCATCCTCGCCAGCATCTGTCGTTTCCTGACTTGTTAATTTAGCCATTCTGACTGGTGTGAAGTGGTATCTCATTGTGGTTTTGATTTGTATTTCCTTGATGCCAAGTGATGTTGAGCACTTTTTCATGTTGCCTGTTGGCCATTTGGATGTCTTCGTTGCAGAAATGTCTGTTCATGTCTTCTTCTCATTTCTTTATTGGACTATTTGTTCTTTGGGTGTTGAGTTTGATAAGTTCTTTATAGATTTTTGGATAGTAGCCCTTTATCTGATACGTCATTTGCAAATGTATATATACACACATACATATGTGTGTGTGTGTGTGTGTGTGTGTATAGAACCAAGATAAACCAGAGAGAGAGAGAAACCATAAGAAACTCTTAATCTGAGGAAACAAACTGAGCGTTGCTGGAGGGGAGGTGAATGGGGGGATGGGGTAACTGGGTGAGGGACATTGGGGAGGGTATGTGTTGTAATGAGCACAGGGTATTATATAAGACTGATGAATCACAGACCTGTACCCTTGAAATAAATAATGCATTATATGTTAATTAATTTAAAAAAAATAAAAACAAAAATATTAATAAAGCCTTGGTTAGAGAAAATGAAGTATCCGAGTGTTTTGAGAGAAGTTTCAGAGATTGGGGGGAATTGATGATGTCATAGTGACAAATACTAGGAAGTAAAAGAACATACAAAAAAAAATTATTAACACCAGAGGAAACAGAAATTGTGCAAAAAAAAAGAAATGCTCACTAGCACAGCCCTCAGTGGAATTTATTAGTGATAATGCACCCTGAATATTAATTAAAAATTTATAAGGTAACTCTTAAGAAAAAGAGGATATGGGTATTGTTGGGACCAGGGTTAGTAAAGATAGACAAATCTTGATCTTCTTTAGGGAAAGTCATAGATAATTTCCCACACTAAAATAATAATAATAGTAAGGGGGAAAAGAAGAGGAAGGAATTTTTAAGAAGTAGCCACACAAACATGTTAGGGAAGCAAATTCCAATAGAATTCAATGGAAATATTAGAAATACTTGCCTTTAGGAAAAGAGAAGTGAGATGAAGGGCAGAATCAGGGATGATATTCTTCTTAACATTTCAGAATTCAATGTTTGAAACTGATGGGTGTAACCTTACTACATAGAATCTGCATTATATATAAATGTATTTTGTTTGGGAACACAAGGTAGAAAATCCAAAGTTTAGTCTGTGAACAACCAGTCAAAGTTCAAGTCATTCAGAATTTTTAATAAGCTATGCTCTCATTCTATCAAGAATGAAACACATGCTTTCCACCAAATAATATAACTTCCCTTTGCAGCTGTATAAAATATGCACATAACATCATACACAGTTTTAGTTCACATGTGCTTTTTAGCAGTCAGTTAGCCCAGACAATGGAAAAAAGAATACAAGCCTGGTTCTTCGAATTTATTTTTTTCTTCTTTTTTTTTTTTTAAGTGAGCTCAATGCCCAATGTGGGGCTTGAACTCAGAACCCCAAGATCAAGAGTTGCGTGCTCTACCACCTAAGCCTGCCAGGTGTCCCCAAATTTGGTTTTACTAGCACAATGGAATCACAATTTTCTGAATGAAATATATAAAACAGAACATTGTGAAGTTTAGGAATGAGAAATCATAACACAAGATCTACTTTAATTAAAATCACTTAATATTATAAAGCCCATAATTTCAATAAATGCCTGTCACATGATGTGCAAAATAAACATTCAATTGCATTTATTTACTCGTTTAATTCAGTAATGACATTGGGGACGTTCCTCAGGTACTTCTCACGTGGGGTTGAGGAATGAATGAGGTAACCAAGGTGTCTGCCTCAGGAATCTGCTCATCCCGTAAGTATGAGATTCTAAAATTCTCAGAAAAAAGAATTAAAATTCCCTTATCTGTATTTTTATCTTCCTTAGCCAAGACATGTGTTCAAACTAAGATCACTTAGAAGGGTCTCTTTAAGTAAATGTGAAAAAAATCTCCTTTAATTTAGGAATAGCTGATTAGAGGGAAAATAGGAAGAAAATGGACAGTTCCATGTTCATGAAAAGACTGTTTTCCAAAGTATTCTTCATGTATCTCACTTGGGACCTAGAATCCATTTTCCTCCGGAAATAATACTGAAATGGGGGTAGCTAATATTTTACAGGTGTGCTTGGTGTTCTTGGGAAGCCATGACTTCTTATTTTCTACTGGCAATATTCACGTGGGTATTTACACATGTTAACTGTACTCGAATCATCTTTTGTGCATTGATAGTGTAGTCAATTGGGGTAGTTAGAAGTCTCTCTTTCTTCCAAAAGGAACACAGTGAGTTCTAAGACCTGTGCCCGGAGGTTTTATGGAAGCTTATGTTCCAGCATAAAATTTGATATTTGATGGTATATTATTTTCTCATTCCCATCAACATTTTTTGTATGAACTGCATTATGCATAGCCAAGAAATTTCTGGAGGAGGTGTACCAATTAAATCTGAATGCCATGAACAGTTTGCTTAAGGGTAGAGTGCCGCCGCCCCACCCACCCCCCAAAAACCAAAATTTTTGTAAGGTCATTTCAACCTGAATCCACCAAAACCTGTTCAAATAAAGAGCTTGGAGAAAATAAACATCTTACAAATATTATTTTGAAACAAATACAACATTTCAAAATAAGCAATTAGTGGAAGAAATATTTCTTCCACGTATTAGTCTATGTATGACTTTCTTATTTTAAAAGAAAGGGTTTTTTTTTTTTTTTTTTTTTTGTAAATGTCCTTTTCTAAAATGTGGGAGAACAATTTCCTCTCCAAAGTAGGTTTCACATAGTCTCTGTCACCAAACCTGAATTATTAATTTGGTTAATCAGTATGGTTCTTTCACAGAAATTGCAGAAGGAGACAGGTCCTACTTCCTCTCCAAAATTTCACCCAGTATTAATTCGTACATTTTTTTTTAATTTTAAAATGAAAACAGTATTAGACCTAGTCAAAGCTCAGTTGTCTTATATAAGATATAAGATGCAAACTGCTTACAGCAAGCAACAGAAAAAAGTGTGCACTTAATTACAATTTACACAAAGGAATTCAGTCTATAGTTCCACTACCTGTACAATCTGGGGTTTATAACGGAGCAAAAATTCCCACCTGCAGCCCTGAGACTGACCACAATTTTTTTTTTTTTAAGATGTATAATTAGTACACCTGTCTCAAATCCTTTGAGGGGCTTTTCGTTCATTTCTTGGGAGAAATGTTCTGGCATTTTCCTTTTTAATCAAAGCTACTTGGCGAAATTGCTTCCCGGCCAGACCTCAGAATATTAGCGAAAGTCTGGCGCTGGCCTTGTTGCCATTTGAATATTCACAGCCATAGTTTTACAACTGCCCCATCGTGAGTAATGCGCTGAAACTCCCGCAATTCAGTCATCATTTCTTCCCTTCCTCGGCTGGCCCTGGCCCTTGGAATGTTTGCGTGGTGTCATTGCGAATGTGCTCGGAGCAGAGTTATATGGCATCATTTGGAGAAACATTGCGTTAATAACCAGAGTTCAAGGGCAAAGGATATAAACGGAGCAAATTACAAGTCTGAACAGATATATAGCTTTTGCTAAAAGGGACATGGGCTGCTACTTTATTTACTGGGCGCGGGTGCACTGCAAAGGTGCCCAAGCGCACGAAGGCATTTTTAAACGACCACATCACGGCTTAAGAAAACAACACAAATTTTCAGACGAGAAGGAAACCTAGTGCAAGGATCCACGGTTCTGAGTTTCCTAATGAGAGAATACGATTTGCTATAAAGTACCTTAAGTTTCCGGGGTAATTTCACAGATGATAATATCGTTTTATGTGTCACCATGGAGGGGAAGCAGAAGCTTGCTGGAATTCTAAATTCAATAGATCATCTCAAACTGCAGGTTAACCCAGTTTTGCCAGGGATTTCTTGTCCTGATCATTTTAACCCTGGGACACCACCCTACTTCAAAATGAATACCATGAAAGAGGAATTTGTAAAAATGCTGTATTTCATTTTAATATGTTGACTAGAGGTCTCTCAATAATTACATAAAAAGGGAGCCAGAAATTCAAAAGAGGGAAAGCAAAATCAATTTTTCAAAAGGAGCCAAAAGAGAACTTCATTAATAATCAAAGAAAATAAAAATCAAAGAATCGCAAGTGCTACATTACCAAGTATTTTTTATTAGTGTTCTCAATAACACTGAGCATACTGTAAAGTAGGCTGGTCTGATATTTTTCTGCTGGTGAGATGCAATGCTACAGCATTTTTGCCTTTCTTTTCCTTCTTCTTCTTCTTCTTCTTCTTCTTCTTCTTCTTCTTCTTCTTCCTCTTCTTCTTTTTTCTTTTTTTTTTTGTTAAAGCAATTTGGAAATTACTGTAAAAAAATCAAGATATTCATTAAGCATGGCCTATAAAGTCCATTTAAAAAGTTTTTTTGAGATCAGCAATTTACAAGGTGGAAATTTTGCCTTAAGATGTTCCTTACTGTATTATTTACTGAAAACTCGAAGTTACCTAAGTGTCCAAAAAGGAGGAAATGATTAGTCAAATTTTATATACACTCAAGGAAATATTATGCTGTTACTAAAATTGATTAAATGTTATTAAAATTGATTAATCTTCTACTAATATTAAAAAGTTATTTTGACATAATCTATGAGAAAAACCCCCACAGGATTCAAATGAACACTTTTACAGCTGTTTAAGCATACGTTAAAAAGAATTCTAGAAAGAAACATACATGAATTTAACTTATGTGTGCTTTTTTTTGTGGGGGAGGGCAGATATGCTATCTGTGCTAGCACAAATAAGTTTCTTTAATTTTTTGAACTTACTTTTACAGTGTTAAAACATGGTTATTTCAAAAAGAAATGCGTGGAGCTGGGTTCTTTCTCCCCTGACTCACTCTCAACCACAATGAGATAAGATACACCTCTGTGACATGATTCGGTTTCACTTATTGCTATTTTTAAACATGGGTTTTATTTTCTTAGTGGTGGTAGTTGTTAGGGCAGAAGGGAATAGTGGGTATTCTAATACACAATGAGATAGAATGATATTCCCATATTAAAAAAGAAATCCCACTGTTTTCTCTAAACTATTTTGCTGGCAGAGGTAAAAGAATCAGCTTATAGGCAGGACTGACTTATTTCTTGACATAAGATATATTAGCTTGCACACCACAGCTCGTGCAGGAGGAAATATTCACCGTGAATGGACCTGTCCTTCAGTTGCCAAAGAAGAGCCTGGATGATACAATAGCTCTCTACAACCCCATTTCCATGGTGGTTCATGACATATTTTTTCCTGTTATCCTTCTGTCTGCTTCAATCCCTACTCTCAACCTAATGAGTTTTTAAAAGGACACTTCTTAAATCGAGTTGCCTAAAACCATGTGCTGTCATCTTTTTGCAAGGATAAACAAAACATATCCAAGTTGCTCATGACTTTTAAGCACATAAAAGCTAGACAAATTATGAAAATTTTACACATTCGAAAGATCAGAATTATCTCTAGAACACATTCTTCTATTTTATTTTATTCTTTTTGAGCTAAAGTTTTTTTTTCTTTTAGCATTTAATATCCAATTTTCTTATTCTTATTATTTTTTAACTAAAGTGCATTGCCCACCCTCCCGCCCCATTTTCTGAAATTTATTTTCAATGATCTTCATGTTGCCAGAGATAAGAAAATGCAACCGTTCAGGTCTGATTTCATATTGTTTCGGATAACCGATAGGGGATCATTCCCACAAATGGAAAATAGGACTTAAAAACTGTTTGCAGTTCGGGAAGGGGAGGCTGAGGGATTGTTCAATGATTTGGCTCAATGATTTGTCAAACATCAGTCCTCAAGAATGCCAGGTTCTTCGCCCTCCACTTTCCCATAGTGCGTTTTCCTTTCTCCCACAGAGATATAATAGAAACTAATCTTCAAAATCTAAACATTCCGAGCCGGGTCCTTTTGTGCAGGCATCTTGCTCTCTCTGCCCAGAGCCGGGAGCCGCGGAGCGCGCTCGTATTTACACTGGCCAGCCCCCCGCTGCTCGGACCCCGGCCGGCAGACAGGCCATCCATCATCCGCCCTCCTCCCGCCGAGCGCCGCCGCCGCGGCCAATCGGGAGGCAGGTGGGGCGCACCTGCGGGACGGCCCGCCGCTCCCCGCCGCTCCCCGCCGCTCCCCTCCGCTCCCCTCGGCGCGCTGCGCGGGCTGGCGGTGCCCTTGCAGCCCCTGCGTTCTCCAAGGCCAGAACCCGGCAGGTACGTCCGGGTGACAGGGACGGTGTGCGCGGCCGAGGCCGCCGCAGGAACGTAGGGGGACACGTTCTCCCTTAATGCCCACGCCTGCTTTGGATTGGTCTGCCATCCGTGGGTGCGGACACGCGGGCCCTCACCGGGTTTAGTCTCTAAAAAGTGGAAGAATGACGATACTCACCTTGGGAAGGGACGAGTAAGTGAGAACACATTTGAGTGAGAGAATTCCTTGCCTCTGGTCCGTTCCTTTGATAGCAAGGACCTGTAATGAGTTTGCAAAGCAAGTCTGAATTCAGCATGGCCCATGCAGACTTCAGGGAGAACTCCCCCTGACACCTTCCCCCACCCCCAGACCTAAGTGCATGATAGTAACACAACACCATAGGACACCCAAACTACTCCAAGCAAAAACCTAACCTGGATCTCAAGGGCGGTAAAAAAAAAAAAAAAAAAAAAAAAAAAGCAAGCAGAACCTCAAACCACTGGGAAGCCTTCATTTTCCAAATAAGTCAACTAATTGTAGTGCAATCACCTTGCTTTTAAGGGCTGGGTTGGGTTCCTTGGCTCTTCTGAGAAGGAAACTACTGGGAGTTCTGCGAACGTGTTGTGGATTTTATAGCTGGACTCCATAGCTCCTTTTGGTATAAACGATCCAGTACATCTACTCGATCATGTAATTTTAGAACAACTGAGGACAAGCAGAATCCCCAACCCTCTCCCTTATGTTCCAAGAGTGTGTCTATGTAAATGTCAGTTATGCCCAGGCAAGGTCTTGGGGGTGTGGTGGGTGGGGTGGGCAGTGGGGGGAGGTGAGACAGCCTTGCCAAGGGCTTCAAGGTTTTCCAGAAACGCGTGTGTCTAAAAAATACAAATACAAAATAAATAACAGCCACCACAGCAGTAAGCATCACCCCCAACCCTCTACCCCTGGCTTCCTTCTGAATCATAAATCATGAAAGAGAGATCAGTGAGTCCAATTTTCCTGCCTTTAACAACTGGAACTGATAATGCCAAAAAGGAAGAGAAACAAACCATGTGAGCCTTATTGCTGCCAGAGGAGTGGTACGCTTGGGAAGGTCCAGGTCTCTCCTCCGTTTGGAACTCCCATGGCTAAGAAGGCTCTTGGATCCTCCAATTGGGTGGTTCTCAAACCTGGCTTCACAGGAGACCCAAGCCTAGGTTTGTGAGGTTTGGTTTTGTTGTGCTTTTTGTTTTTGTTTTTTTTTCTTTTGGATTTTGGTTTTCCTTTCCTTTTTTTTTTTTTTTTTTTTTTTTTTTTAAGAAGATTCCAATGCCTAGAGCAGCATTCTGATTCTCTTGGTCTGGGGTATGGTCTGAGTATAAGTACTTCAGAAAACCTTCTTTGTCGTTGGCTTGCACGCCCCTCCAGCTGCACATCCCATTTCTGTTCTGTTTCATGGGATCCATGGATAGGAATCGTGGGATATTATTCTGTTCCGTTTCATGGGATACAACCGCCCCTGTTTCCCCTCCCCCATCAAATACACACAGTCCACACCAAGTTGACAGTTTCTCTCTCTCTCTTTTTCTTTTTTTTTTCCTTTTTGCCATCCATCACTCGCTCTTATTAGCATGCTGCTCTGTTTAGTCCTGGTTTTAAAAATTGGGCGCCTGGGTGGCTCAGTGGGTTGAAGCCTCTGCCTTCTGCTCAGGTCATGGTCCTGGAGTCCTGGGATCGAGCCCCGCATCCGGCTCTCTGCTCGGCGGGGGGCCTGCTTCCTCCTCTCTCTCCCTGCCTGCCTCTCTGCCTGCTTGTGATCTCTGTCTGTCAAATAAATAAATAAAAATTAAAAAAAAAAAATTGGTCACTCCTCATTTTAACACCTTGGGAGCAAGGGCTTTTTGTTGTTGTTGTTATTAATGCATTTATGTTTTCATTATATTTGAAATACTGACTGGGAGGGGGCAGGTAGAGACCAATCGATAGGAGGGATTTTGTTCTCTGGGGAATTTTGAAGTCTAAAATATTTTTCTCCGAACTTGGGGAAGTTCCTCCCTCCGCCACGGCTTTGGCTCCTGCGCGGCTCCGGGCCCACCCGAGCCACTCACATCGCCTACCCAAGTCTGGCCACAGGTTTTGTATGAGCGGAGCGTTCTCCTTGTTCACCGAAGTAGAACTGGAATCTCTCCTTCCCCGGGTTTTTCTCACTCTCCGTGGCCAGCAGTGCCGCGTTTCTGGATTATGTTGTACGCTTTTCCTTGAGAGATAGATGATCTGTTCTTTGATTAGACATCCTGACCTTTTACGGGTGTTGATCATTGATCTTGATCTGGGCTGGATAGAAAGCTCTTGACGCTGAAAAGTTACTCTGTTGCCAACACCACGGGGAAATTCAATTTCTGCCTGCGCCCGGCCTGGGACTCCTCCTCAATTAGGATTCCTCTTGTTATGATTTTACTTTTATTAAGCAAGCTGCAGCCTCTGTTTTTCCAGCCTTAGCTTTTAGTTACAGTAATCAATTTTTTTTTTTCTTTTCTAGGGCGGCTGGCTATAATTGTTGGCTTGGATATTGAGCTTTCATGGTATTAGACATAGTGTGTTCTCATGAAGGGTCTTCTCCATACCTCGCAGACAGATGGGTAATAATAGCATACATTAATACCTCCACATTGGTTTATGTGTGTTTGACCACAGTGCAAGCATAATTATTTTTGCCCAGTAAAAGCTATTAGAGATCTATTTGGTAGGTTTTACGATCAATAGCTCCTGTGGTATTTGTGTAGCAGCCACAGAATAATCAATTGAAGGTCATATAAAGTAAATTACCATCCTCCTATAATGATTCTTTTTTCTAGATGAGAATTGGGTTTTATTATTTCATCAGGAGCCTCTCCGCGACGCATGCTCTGTCTGTCGGAGAAAGAGAGATATAAAAGTTGCGAGCCTGTTTTGAACATAGTATTAATATCCATTACTTGAATTTATGTTATTGGATTATTGAATTAGTGGATTCACACTGGAATTCCTTCAAAACCCTTTCTTATGTACTCAGTGACACAGTTAATAACAGTCGGGAGCAAACGGACATCTTTGGCTGCATGGTGGAGTGAGTCACTTTGCAAAAGTCAATCTTTGTAGCTGTCTCTTTAAAGCAAATTTAGAGTTGGTTAAATGTGTTATATTGACAGTGTGACTGAGCTTCTCTCTTCAAACCCTTTTGGAGAGTGACTGGTGAACTAAGCAGGGGTTGGAGTCAGGGATGCTGCATACTAATGCACTGTCCACTGGTAGCTCAAGGTGAAACTGGGGGCAAGCTGGAGTTGGGGAGGGGCTCGGCACCTGCCTTGGGGACGCGAGTGAGACACCTCTCCTTCACCCGGGATGCCTAACCTGGATTTCAGACTTGCAGCGTGAGCCCGAGCGAAGGCTGTGTCACTGTAAAAGATTGCAATTTGCCAACCGGAGGCACACAATCCCCCAACTGTCTTAAAGGGACCCATTTTCAGAGTTTAGCCCTTCTTTTTGTGGGTGCAATCAGTTGTGCACTGAAAACCTGCAGCCACAGTCGGATAACTGCAGGCACAACAGGCCACGAGAGACCTCTTCGTTCCAAATTTTGTACCTGCCGCTAATTGCACTTACAGAGAATGGGAGTGTGGTAGGAGCTTTTTTAAAAATTTGGGCCAGTAAATTCTCCATGGAGGAAAGAGGCAAGGAGGGAGACAATTACTCACTTTCTTAAAGACAAAGGCAAATGGAGACATCCTTTTCCTCACACGTTCCATCGCGTCTGGGGAGCACGATTTGGGAACCAAATGCCAGGTACCACGAGTACCTTGATCGGGTGGGACACTGCCTGGCAACCGGGAACCCTTCGCCAATGCATGAGAAATAGTACGTTGAAAAGTACGGTAGGAAAGATATTGGTGAGTTTGAGACCACAGCTTGGTGAGAAAGGAATGAAGAGTTTTAAAGTAAATGGCAAAAGGCATTCTCTTTCCTTTAAAAACATGGTTATTATTGTTGTAACTTCTCATTTGCTTCGGGGGCAATTAAGATAATGCCTCTAGAGTGTAATCAAGTGGTAAATCAGGGAGCATACATATTTAAACGTATGTATATAATATATGCTTATGTATTTATATGTAGAGAAATGCATCTATACAAATTATGTGTGTGCTTTATACACACAGTTACATACACATGCACATATATATACCTATTATACATGTATATACATGTATACACACACACACACACATATATATATATACACACACACACACACACATACATACACACACATATACATTTTATTTACTTTTCTGTGAGCTTAAGGAAATAACACTCTGGGGATACCTGGCTGGCTCTGTCAATAGAGCATGCCACTCTTAATCTTGGAGTCATGAGTTCAAGTCCCATGCTGGGCACGGATCCTAGTTAAAAAAAAAAAAAAAAACTTAGGAAGGAAGGGGAGTCTGTGGTATGGGTCATCCCCTAGCCCTTGTGGGTGGACCTCTGTCTACAGGGCCTCATGGAGCTGTCATAGGGACCTCGTTCTATAATCTTTTGAGTAAATGTGATGAGAAGCAAACTGGGAGTTTAAAACCAAGAACTTGCTTCCTAGCTTTTGGAGATGACCGTAAATCAAGCACATATTCCGGAAATTAGAAATCAAATGCAGAATGAGATTGGTAATTTGAGATGTTGTTCTTGCAGAAGTAATTATGAAATATAATTGTATTCAATAATACATTTAATAACCAAACAAAACAGGAGAAGTTTTGGTATTTACAGGTCCCAGGAAATGGTTGAGGAATAAGAAGTGTAGGGGAATGAAAAAGTAAGGAAGTCCAAGATAGCATGGTAGACAGCCTTGGAATAAGACAATGAAGGGCCTGGGAAAAGAGAATTAAGGGCCAGGAATTGTCCCTTGCTCATTACAATTTAGTTATTGTTTCCATATCACAGCTTGGTTTTAAATAACATTTTGAAATCTGGATAGATTTTCCCATAGAATACTGCTAAAAGGAACGATTAGGTTCTTCTACAAGTTAACTTTAAAAATTGTCTCTGAATGGAAATATAAATGGAAAATTCAACAACATATTGGCATTTGTTTTCATCTAGCTATATGGGCCTGACTCTAGTCTCCAGGGAAAATGCCTTCAAGAGATGAAGTGCCGCTGGAAATAAAAACGAACCCTCAACCAACTTGTTAAGGAACGCCCAACCTTCCGCAGATTGGGAACATTTGAGATTGTAGACATGCCTCTGCATTTTTCCCTTTCTTTTCATGATGCCTTAAAGCATGAAGCTTCCATCATTGCCCTTTGGAGAGACAAACTTTCGATTCCACATTTCAAAAAGGGACAGAGAACTTGGAGGGAGTTCAGACAAGAGGGACCCGATGCAGGACCATTTTTCTTCAAAGGGAAAAGTAATATTTGGGGAATGGATTTAAATTAGGAACAATTTCAGGTATACCGGAAAACAGCCAAAGAACCATGGAAGTTTAAAAAAAAGTTTTAAGGAACACCATGAGAAGTTACAAAGTCACAGTTCTGAAAAGCAAGAGGAGCCCTATGCAAATGAGGCATTACATCAATAAAGAGCTGTGATTGAAACTGATTGATGATGATTATGGTGATGATCATTATGATTACTTCCTTACAAGTATTTTAACAGCATCACATTCGCTAGCCTCTAGTACTTGCTTTGCCAAACCCCGACGTTGGATTAACTCAACCATCTACCTTCCGCATATCTGTGCCAGTAGCTTCACTTGGCTAATATGGTCTGACCCTGGCTAGCCTTGGTTCCACTTTAAAATAAAATCCCCAGCTTCACTTGCGCTCTGACCACTGCCCTGTAGCTCTATCCTGCCTCCCCACAATGTTGGATCTGCAGGACAATAAAAAAAAAACCCACACCTCCCCTCTCTCCTGGAACTTCCTGTTTTAGCTGACCTTTCTACATATGTCACCTGGACCATAAGTGCCATCAGCTGGGAATCTCTCATCTTTGACATGATTTTAAATATTAAGTCTTACCTGCAATTGTCCTGGTTTACCTTTTTCCTTCAAAATTACAATTGATGCTGAGTTCCTTCTGCTTTCAAAGAGCCAGCCCTTTTACTTAGGTTGTGAATCCTGTCTCCTCATCCTTCTCAAGGGTTTTGTGGACTTTGATCGTGTAGCCAACACTCTTACTGGATCAGCTCACAAACTCACCTGAACAAAAAAGCAAACATACAAATAAAACTCAAACCCTGTTTTTGGAGAAGGATGATAATTGATCTCCAGTGTCCATCATTCCATTCTCCCCTTGATTAAAGAACCCATGTATTTAGCAGAGTCCATCAACACCTAGAAGAGAGAACTTTCTTTAGCTTCTCTTGCACCGAGGTGTGGCCGTGGGATTGAGTTAGCAGATGTAGTACCTCAACATCTTGGAAGCATCCTCAGAATGAGAGGACCCAAGCTTATCATCACTCCATCTATATCTATATATCTATATATATATTTATATTTATATTTATATTTATATTTATTTATATACAGAGAGCCTGTGTGCATGAGCAAGGAGAGAGGCAGAGGAAAAAGCAAACTCCCCAATGAGCAGGGAAACGAATATGGGTTCGATCCCAGGACTTGGGATCATGACCTGAGCTGAAGGCAGATACTTCACCAATTGAGCCACCCAGGCAACCCCCCTCTCCTGTTTTTGTTGACATAACTGTAAGAGAGCAGAATCTGGGGTCCTGGTGTTTGGAAAGCCACCACAGCAGTCCACAACTTCTTACTGCCTGACATAATGGGGGAGAAAAATAGATGTCTCTTAAGTTGTTGTAGGGTTTTCTATCATTTGGAGCCCAAACTAATCCTAATGGATATGCTCGCATGCCTTCAATTTCTCATTTCCCTAAATGTACTGCCACTCCCTCATCTTCCATCCAGGTCCAAGAATTTTGAGTCATCCACACACACACCCTCTATATCCTTACCCCACACACACAGCCTCTATATCTCAACGATTCCCATGTGTCTCCTATCATCATCCCTACAAGAAATTGCTTTAGTCAGACTCAGGGTCTCCATTTGGCCAATCCTCATTGTACCTGATGGTGTCTACACTCTCTTTCTCAAGTCGCTTTCTTATAAGATTCTCATATATCACGTTCTTCTGTGTTTTCTTTGGCCTCACAGTTCCCTACCTCTTGGTCTCTTTTGCAAACCTGAATTCCATTGGCCTTCTCCAGCACCCCTCCTTTGGTTTCAGAGACATTTTAGCTGACCTAGTTCAAAATGGAACTCCTGATTCTCCTGCTTCCCAGACATATTCCTACTTCCTTCTTCCTCATCATAGTAAATCATCTTAGTAAATTCCCTAACTGGAATATGGAAGTCTGCTTTGATTCCTCTCTCTACCTTACTCTTCAAAACCCAAATTTCGAAGCAATTGTGGTGGAGTCTATCTCAAGCATCAACACCATATGCATCTATATCTGTCCATCCTTCTGCCGCCCTCATCTTCTCTCTCTTGAGCTATGGAAGAGCATTTGATCTGATTTTTCCCACCTTTGCTATTATCCTGTTTCAAGCTCTGAAGTGAATTGATACCACACTAAGAATAGAATCTCAGCTAGTTACCATGGATCATATGGCCCTATACAACATTCTCCCCTCCCACATGGGGCTCCCCTCAGTTTCTCAGAAAAGCTGAAGTTTTCTCCCGTTCCAGAAAGCTAATCCTTCTCACTTATACTCTCTTCCCTTGAGAGTTCTTGTGCTTGGCTCTTTCTTACCCTTCTGATTTCTCCTTAAGTATTACTGCCTGAGCAAAATCTTCATCGGCCACCTTATTTAAGGAGACACATACACAAGCACACTGATCTTTTACCACCCTCCCCTCTTAAATTCCTTTAAGGCAATAATTTTTCTTTTTTAAGGAATAATTTCTGGAATGCATTGACCCAATTAATTCTTAACATTTTAAAAATGATTTTATTGAGGTATGAATTATATACCATGAAATTCACCTGTTTTAAGTGTACATTCAATGTTTTCTACTTTAAGTAAACCGAA